AGTGAGGGAAATAAGATAACAAAGGAAAGACTAACAGAGGAGCAGGACAGAGGTAGTGATGAAAATATTGAAATTATAAGACTGGAGTGTTTTCAACCAAAAGCAAGAATTGGAGCTCAGCGACTTACAGAAGGAGGACATGTTTCAACGAAGACAAGTCCTATTGTTAGAGTAATTGACGAAGAACATACAGAAATCGATAGTGCTTGTAAAGATGACAGTCAGACAAAGATCATCATAAAGAAAACTACGGATGAAACCACACAACATATGACGAAATGGTTAGAAAAACAAAGAAATATTAGAAGAAGTTTAAATCTTGAAATAGGTGAGAAGGTCACTTTGAACAAAATGTAAACTCTTTAAATGTCAACAAAATACACATTTTCATTCATGAATATGATTGATACCAAAATTACAATGAAGATCGCAGAGAAAGTGTTATAATACTGCTCATTTTTTCCACTGTTCTTTTTGAAAAATATAGCTTGAGTGTTGTATTTGTCTCTTTTTCATTCATTTTAACAGCTACAAAATGCTCAAGTTAGAATTGACTAAAGGCTTTATTTGGTGTAACATTTTTAAAGGTTCAAAGAAACTTGGGATATACCTTAACACAGAATTATATTTATGTTATCACTGAGTGTTTTTGTCTTTTTTTCTTAATGGTTTCATTTTTATGCAGTCTTTTAGTGTATTACCAATTTCATTTTATTTTCACATTTCTTAGTGTAAAAAAAACAACAACATACTAATGAATGTAAAGTGTCAATGATTTCAGACAAGAAATTTCACAAGGAAATATTTAAATGTAAACCTTTGTGTGTTTATATGTTTAATGCCTGGTTTTAATTGCAGTATTACTTAATTACTTTTCAATCTGCTGTGCATTTCCTTTTTAAGCATTGCAATGTATTGTGTTCTTCAGCAGAGCCCTCTGAGCTCATCTGTTGCCATTTCTTTGTCATTTATATATTGATTTTCTTAACTTTGGCTCTGAATTAATAAATACAAAAATAGTAATTTTACAGTATGTTTTGATTACAATCATGGCTAAAATGTTGTCCATATATTGGATATGACTTTACCTCTGGACCCAATAAGAAATTCACCTAGCTTAGATCAGATTTAAACTTAAAATTTACAAATTAACAAAAATAAATTTGGTGACGATGGCTGAGCTGAAGAAAAATTATTCCGGATAAACTTAACATGGTTAAATGAACGTGAATTCAATGCATATTACTTAAAACAATTTTACTTCCTAATTGAAATATAATAAATGGGACAACAGAGAGGAGAGTGCGTTTCATTACTTTAATTTGACTCCCATAGTTTTTCAGCACAAACATGAGTCAGTCACCTAGTAAACATAGAACAACAAGGCGAATGGGCACATGTGGGGTGAAATCATAGTGGCAAAAATATTTGGAAAGGAAACCGTTATTGTTATTGTTACTGTCACTCTGTTAGTATTCATTGGCAAAGGCCATTTATACTCCACAGTGCCGAGTAGTGTGCACAGGACCACTAAAGGACATCAGGGCTTAAGGCCACTTACAAGAAGTCTGTTTCTAATTGTTTGGTCAGAGACATTCACACCAGTGCTGGAAGTCATTTTGAAGCTAAGGTAGTACTCAACTTGTTCCTTTTTCCACAAAGGAACAGATGCCGGTCCTGCAGATGGGTGGAAGGCCTTCTACAACCCTCTCCAGCTCTCTTAGAGTAACCGCTTGTCTCCTGTAGTCTGCTCCATGCTCTTAAGACTGTGCTGGGAGACACATTCCCTTGTAAAGCAACTTAAGGCAAGAGTTGAAAATGTCAAGCGACCTGACACACCAAAGGTAAAAAAACGCAAAGCAATATCAGATGACGACAACGACAAAGATGAAATACCAGCTGAACAAAAAGCAAG